TTTCAAGCGCTGAAGGTACCAAGTTCGAACGTAGCAATACGCGGGCCGCCGGACGGTCGCTAGGCTTCCATGTGTGCGAGCGAGAGAATCGATGCGCGCTACGTTCCGGAATGGAAATATCGGGCATTTTTTATAAAGTTCGAATTATGGAATTTTTATTACTTCAAAATTTTAATCTGATTAAATCAGAGCAGATTCCACAAATATAGACAATTAAGAAAAATATTGCAAGTTTGAAATTAACTTGAGAAGTTCGAAAGTCCATTTTGGATGTATTTTGTTCGAAAATATCTCTTCTCTAAGTGGACCAAGTTTTAATTTTCGGTCATAATCAGGGACTTTTCGACAATTTTCCCAAATCGTGTCTAGTTATCCGGAAAAGTCGGAAACTTTTCCATTTTATTTAACATTTAACAGAAAACCAAACCCACCCTATAAAATGCCGCAGAGCAAAGCTTTTCCCAAAAGCCCAGTAAAACCTAATTTGGCACCCGAGCAAACAGCATGAAAAAAAATGAAAGCAGAAGGGAACCAGGCGGATAAAACGGTTAAAGAAGTACAAATATGGAATTTCCAAATGAGCTTAATTATGAATTCGGTATACTGCTCTAAGAGGAACTACAAAGGGCTTTAAACCATCGTTTCGGTGCCGTTAAGGGCGCTTTAATAAAATATTATTTTAATTAGCGCCAGTTGGTGCGCGAGCTTATGCAAAAGGCAAAGGAATGTGTTAATGAAAAACTCTGATAAATGAGAGATTTACATTTGTATTACTGGTCTATTTAATGTTTGGTATTCAAACGGAGGGATTGCGCCAGTTAGCAGTGTTAATTTCAAGATGTTTATCTGATCTAAATATGTGATTTAAAGTGCATTAATAAGGCCAAATAAATTGAATTCGAACTCAAAGGGCCGAAACCCACGCCAATTATTCGCATTTTCGATAGAGTGACTTGGAAATTGAATATGTTACTGTAAAGGATCGAGCCCATACACTCCACTCATTGTTTAGCAGGCAAACGGCTATTGTTGTTTTACACATGCTTGCTTCGGCTGGAAATTTAGTTAATTACCAATCCGACTGGGAGAGTTGGGGAGTTGTTATTTGTGTCCGAATCGCCATTGACTCAATTCAATTAATAGGAATTTTAAATTAATTAATGCTCTTTAGACGCGGCGGTGTAAGTGGATGCATTAAAACTGCAGGCAAACAAATGCCCTTTTCTTTCAGCAGGTTGGGGTCGTGCTTGTGTAAAGTATTAGCCTAATTACGCCAAGTTGATGTATGGATGAGCGCGAATAACAAGGAGTTGAGCTTTCTTAGGTAATTGCCATGTCTTAATTGTGCTCGGCACTTGAAAGCGAGATGCAAAAATGCCTTGAGCAGCTTAATAGGAAACATTTTCCTGCAGACCTGCACCTCAAACTGGTGAGTTTTTGAATAAATTCTTGGGCTCACAAAAAACTCGGAAGTTTCAAACAGAAAAGTTCAAATTTACATCACATTCTTCAAACGATTGCAGCAGCTGATAGGTTTGTTGGCCTGTAGCTTGTTGTGGAAAATATTTTTTTYCTGRCGTTTCGCATTCYTAGGGGCTTGCACCTTCAGAGTTTMAAGTCGGGCTTTCAGCCAGATTAAAAGTTATGAATTTTTCCCTTTGTGCCGAAACGTTCATTTTCAGCTAACACTTACCAAGTCGGTGAAAATTAAGATTTGGTGTGATTTCACTGAAATTTTCAGCATTTTTAGGCTGATACATCTTCTATAGGCTGGAGAAGTTTCAAGTCGGGGTTTCAGCCAGATTAAGAGTTATGATTTTTTTCAACTATAAAGCGTATTTCTGTCGAAACGTACATTTTCAGCTAACACTTCCCCAGTGGGCCAAATCAGGAATAGGTGCGATTTTAATGAAATTTTCAACGGTTTTAGATCAAAATATCTTCTATAGACCGGCAAAGTTTCAAGTCGAAGTTTGAGCCAGATTAAAATATATCGTTTTTTCCAACCAAAAGGTCCATTTGAGCCGAAACGTTCATTTTCAGCCGACCCTTACCAACTCGGCAATAATTAGGATTAGGTGTGATTTCAACGAAATTTTCAGCATTTCTAGACTGAAATATCTTCTATAGATTGGGGAAGTTCCAAGTCGGTGTTTCAGCTAGATTAAAAGTTTTGATTTTTTTATTCCAAAAGACATATTTCTGTCTAAACGTACATTTTATTCGAACACTCCGTAAAAATCATAATTCGGTGTGATTTCGATGAAATTTTCACCATTTTTAGACTAGATTGAAATATCTTCTATAGATTGGGGAAGTTCGAAGTCGGTTTTCCAGTTAGATTAAAAGTTATGATTTTTTTATACCAAAAGATATATTTCTCTCTAAACGTACAGTTTAATCGAACACTTACCAACTCCGTAAAAATCATAATTCGGTGTGATTTCGATGAAATTTTCACCATTTTTAGACTGAAACATCTTTTATAGATTGGATAAGATTCAAGTCGGGGTTTCAGCCAGATTAAAAGTTATGATTTTTTCAACCATAAAGCGTATTTATGTCGAAACGTACATTTTCAGCTAACACTTCCCCAGTGGGCCAAATCAGGAATAGGTGCGATTTCAATGAAATTTTCAACAGTTTTAGATCAAAATATCTTCTATAGACTGACAAAGTTTCAAGTCGGGGTTTGAGCCAAATTAAAAGATATCGTTTTTTTCAACCAAAAGGTCAATTTGTGCCCAATCGTTCATTTTCAGCCGACATTTACCAACTCGGCAATAATCAGAATTGGACGTGATTTCAACGAAATTTTCAGCATTTCTAGATTGAAATATCTTCTATAGATTGGGGAAGTTCCAAGTCAGTTTTCCAGTTAGATTAAAAGTTATGATTTTTTTAGACCAAAAGGCATATTTCTGTCTAAACGTACATTTTAATCGAACACTTACCAACTCCGTAAAAATCATAATTCGGTGTGATTTCGATGAAATTTTCACCATTTTTTGACTGAAACATCTWTTATAGATTSGAGAAGWTTCATGTCGGGGTTTCAGCCAGATTAAAAGTTATGATTTTTTCAACCATAAAGCCTATTTCTGTCGAAACGTACAYTTTCAGCTAACACTTCCCMAGTTGGCCAAATCAGGAWTAGGTGCGATTTCAATGAAATTTTCAACAGTTTTAGAYCAAAATATCTTCTATAGACTGASAAAGTTTCAAGYCGGAGTCTGAGCCATATTAAAAGATACRATTTTTTTCAGCCAAAAGGTCCATTTGTGGCGAAACATTCRTTTTCAGCTGACACTTACCAAGTCGGCAATAATGAGGATTAGGTGTGATTTCAATGAAATGTTTAGCATTTTTAACTTAACTCTTTGGAAATGTGAAAAGTTGAAGCATTTTTGTTGATATCAGCCACACTACACTAATCAATGGTGTTGAAATTTGCAACTTTCTAACAACGTGCACTATTGACGGGAGTTGTTGGAAACAAAGAGCTTTACTGGGAAACTTTGCCAATGCAAAACCTCATCTCACAGTGGCATCAGTGAAATGCATCCACTTGATGGAAATATCGCCTTTATTCCGGCGAAACAACGAAACCTAATCAATATCCTCCACACGGTGAATTTGCCGATACTCCGTAACGAAACTGGCGCATTGAGAATGTTATTAATTGATGTACGACAAAGTAAGCTTTGCCACTAGTGTATGCACTTAATTATGTAGTTAGGTGGAGAACGCATTTACATTAATGCGGTTCAAGGGTTTTGCATTCGAACCAGAGACACGCGAATAATGACTATCCAGTTTCCCTTGCTTCAATCATTCAAAAGATCCGAATGAATTCCGTTATTTCACTTTTGGCTTTGACTCGTCGCCCTTTAAATTAGCAAATCGGGTTAGTGCTGTTGTGCCCCATTCTAATCTCCAACGGCGGCTAATTAAATAAATTCTAATTGTACAATAATAGAGCCGATAAAGTGGCGTAAAATTCGCATCGCTGCTCAATCACGACCCAGTGTCTGTTCGCGATATGTTTCAGGGCAATTAAGTGCAAACACGATCTATATTCCAAAGCGGCCTTTCCTGGTCATCAATTAATATCCACAGTATACGGGCTTCATTAGGGTAATGTTACAGATCCTAGTTGTAAAGCTGCCCTATCCCTGAATGGATAAAGGGAGAATTTGCCCACATGGCATGCGGTCACGAAGAATGCTGAATAGATTTTTTTCGAGCGTTACTTCGTTATTTTATTTGAAAGAAATGAAAAAATCTAAATGCCACCTAATTAATGGAGAGCGCCAAGTTTCCATTAAGATTTTCTACTTACTAAAAGACGTCCTTAAATAAATTGTAAGATTAAGTGATATCAATTTGCAGAAAGGGAAAATCAATCAATTTCCTCAGTTTCAGTAGATTTCGTCAATTCATGTCGGCGACCAAGTCGAAAATGCGCCGAACAGATGCAAAAGCCTTGAAATTTCCATAATTCGACTTTTATTAAATACACGAAAACTTCCATTCCAGAACGTAGCGCGGATCGGTTCTCTCACTCGCACACATGGAACTCCAGCTACATGACCGATAGCCCGCGGTTGCTACGTTCGAACTTGACACCTTCATCGCTTAAAATAAATAAGTTTTGAGCGAGATAAACTGACGAAAAATATTTCTATACTAACTGTTAAATACAAAAGGGTTTTTCCAAGAAAAATTGATAATTTTTGCGTTCTAACGCCCACGAGTAAGAGAATGATTTTCGAAAACAAAACAGCTAACAGCGTTCCGATCATCTAAATTAAGACAAATACGCGTTGGATTGTGGATTCAAACCAGAGGAATTCTTCCACACATCAGCACGACTTTTTTTGAGTTTTTTTCTTTGCATAACTTCAGTTTGTCTTAGAAACCCGTCAAAATATATCATTGGTTTTCCAGAAAGTTTCACATTTGCCAAAACAGGTAAACCTGTAAAGTTTGCAACTTACGTGATCCCGAAGAGTTCGCCCATATAATCGGAAAAATCCATATCAAAAGCAGCACATGCCGGTAGACCTCAGTCAACATTGCTGAATCTGAAAAAATTAAGAATCTTTCAGACCTAAGCAATCATTATGTGAAACTGCCGGATTTCCCGACTGGATGTGTTCTTTCTGGATTAAAAGTTCAGATCTAACAAAAATAATTCAAATGCAGGGCAAATAGGGATCAGATCCAATCCGGCACAGTTTATGTGGGAAATCAAACAAAAGTCTTTATTAGTGAGCGACGCCCGCATAAGCTGGAACACGCCAACCCTGAAACCTTTGGGGCAAAAGGTAAATTAGGGATCTGTCGCGTTACGCATTATTATGCGGTGTTACATTACGAGGAAAAGGGACGACTAAGTGACGAAATGGGGAGTTTACATTGTCGTAATTTCCAATCTGAAACAATGACGTTATACAAACAAGTGCAGCTGGAAAGTGGAACTTCCAGTGGTTTCACTTTGATCCAATCCTGACACAAGCACCAGAAAAATGACCATAATATCATCAGTTCAGTGTAAGCTTTCAGTAAACTACCTCTGAAGATACACACCACTCCTGCAGGCGAAACGGCGGCAAGGAAAACTCACCAGGGTCATCCAATGAATAATGGAAAAAGCTCCGAAGGCAGCTGTTATTAATAGGATTTTATGATTCATTGAGACATTGAACAATAATAAAAACTTCCCTATTGTAGAAACAGGAAGTGAGTTTCCCTCTAAATATTAATGGTCACTTTTCGCCATTATGGAACAAAGAAACGCCACAATGGAAAGTGACCCTCATTTCACCCAGTCGAATAAAGTTAGAAACTTGGGCCAAAGTGTCCTTGTTTGGGTAATAAAGCTGAAAAACATGCGGAAATAATGGGGCAAGGAATTAAAAATGTGCACTCATTATGGGGAATTGTCATGCAAGATTTATTCAATTTTTCCGCCTGGTTTCGAATCACGAATTCCCCCGAACACGCGCAACTAAACACAGCTGCACCAAATTGATTTTTTCAAAAAGTTCCCCGACACTAGAAAATTGAAGGTTCGGATGGATTCCAAAAATCCCTCAAGGAAAAATACTCCCGACTGGAAGAAGTGGATGTCGGTCTCCGTAGGCAAAACAATATCGAAGAACTGCTTATGTAAATATCCTGCAGATTTTCCGAAGGTCTCCATATCCATTAGCATATCGGCAACCTATTTGTAAGCAGCTTTTATTTGTTTTGTATGCAAATACATTTCAGTTGGAGCAAATGGAAATTTTAAATAAATAGTGCCTGAAACCGAACTGCTGTTGCGTAAATCACCCACTTTGTTTTCATTGCATTACCCCATGGGGGGATGATTATTTAAGTGGACATGCAAAATACCAACATTCGGCTCACTTTTTTCAGCTCGCACACAGAGTTTATCCCTATGTAAGCACCTAATATTTAAGTCGATAATTGCAGAGCTTGAGAAAAAAGTGTGTAACTCCGGGATTAAATCGTCGGATATTTAGTGCAGAAACTCGCAAAGTGTCACCTGAATCCGATAAGTGATTCAATGTTTATCGAGGTCTAAAGTTGAGGCAGAGAATGATGAATACTGAAGAATGTCCGCAAATGTGGAGGATCCTAAAAGTGTCCCACTCCATAATCAAAGCATGGACTAAGAATTATCTCTATGAAAAACCGAAAAACTTTCACCTAAATGCCTGCATCCGTCCTAAATTTGGGCGAGTTGGAAGTTGACTAAGAAGTCCAATTAGACACTAAATATCTGGACGAGTTCAAAAGTGAGCCTGAAAAAAATTTCCAATTTGCAGCCAGAGCTGAAACTAATTTCAAAATTGCCCAGCTTTTAGAAGAATAATATTGTTGGGTTACTCCGACTGGCGCAGTCGGTAGTAATTATTTGAAAAAAAAATAAGCGAACTGTAACCAAACGAATAATTACTTATCGTGCAAACACGATCCGCTAAGCGGTATAAGTAGCGATTGCATTTATTACACTGATAAACTGTAATTTTTGGACCAATATTACCATTGCTTCATTTAGCAGTAAATTCCCATTATATTTTGCTGATTAAACGTAAACAATTCATTAGTTATCGATAATTAAACATCCAACAGCTAATGCCGGCTATTTGGACGCATTTATGCAGCGATTTTTGGTTAATGTAACTGCATTCATAGATCACTGGAAAATCAGGTCCAATTTAGATCATAATTAACTGACGAGGTTTCGTTGATTCCATGCATATGCAGGTAAAGAGTTTAAAGTTTCTAACAAAATTCGGGCGGAAAGTTCAATCTGTTGCCGGCAAAGTTCTCCACAGTGCATTTACCATATTCCTGACGCATTCACTGACTTTCCTTTAAGGTGGCATTAGGAAACTATCCACAATCCACAGATAAACTGGCAAATGGAAAAAGTTTTCTGCAAAACTCCGTACAGATGGTTAAAGATTCCCCCTGGTCTCGCTGTTGTGTAAGCGCACAATCGATTTGCATCCGAACTTTTCCTAATCAGACACTCTAACGCTGGATTGTTTATTACACTTGTTTGTTCATATTCCGGATATTTTTTTCCGCTTTCTCCATTTCGCCCGAATAATCCCCAAGAACAAACGGCTTTGCATTTCCAACACAAAGTATTGAATTTATGCGGTCCGGATTCCCGTTGGCTCGTAAAAGAAAATTAGGAAATCGTGCCTTCCCTGCTGTCGCTTGAAAAAGGCCACATCATTAGTTTGCAGGAACCGGCAAATTTATCCTGGACTCGTCATGAACGTTGATCTGATGATGAACTTTTGAATATTTACCAGACCTGCTACGGAGRTATTAATGAAACTGAATTCGGGTTAATTACAGCCTACAAGCACTAGTAGTAGTTTTCTGCTAAAAAACCTGCYTCGGCCACTTAAAACTAGCAATTTGCTCAATAACGGTAAATAAAATATTAAACCTCCAATCCTGCGGTAATGCAAACTTGACAAATTAAGCTGACTAACCTTTAGCGGGCATAAAAATGGCATGAACATGAATAAGCAAGAACAAGCCATTATTGATTAACCAGTGTGCCGCATTAAAAATGTAATTTCACTCTTCCTGTATGAGCCTGCTGAAGTTCTTAACAAGTTCTCTCATTATTTATTGAAACGTCAAAAGCTCATAAAGTTTTTCATGCGAGCTTATCCGCCATAGGCCGGAGTGAATGAGCCCCGGTTTTGTTACATGCTGATGATTTTTAAAACATGGAGAGTTTGCAAGGAGCTCCATCGCTCCGAGGGAATTTTTCCACCACACAATATAAATTTATTGTAACATGCAATTTACCGTGGATTCCGTGGGTTTCTCATCTGCTTCCATAACAATGGCAAACTTTATGCATGTGTCACTTTGTTATGCATTTCTAGTTTTAACGGTATTACGGAACTACAAGAATGGTGGGTTTGTTAGCTAAGGGTGCTGCACAAAAACACTGTTTTATTTAGACCAACGTTTCGCGGCCTGATTTTTAGCCTTCGGCAGGGGATTTTGCACAACTTCACCGCTTCAATGCAAAGTTAATATCTTTTTTCGAAGTTTCTCAAGAATCATCTGAGCCACAGCATTCGTTTTGGCATCGTTGGATAGTAATAATTGAACACTCCATTTGGCAATAACGACATGAATGAGGAAATTCAAGTAGTTTTGACCCAGGAAGCGAAATTTGAATATCAGCCACTTAGGTGCAAGATTAGGCCGAAATTTCATGTTTTCTGTCCCGTTTTTGCTCATTTCTCGAAAGCAAAATGAGCACAAACGTTCATTTTGCATCATTCTCGAGAGAACTAAATGGCCTTCTTAGAAAGTGAACCATCTATAAGGCAATGTTGGCAGTTTTTTCCAAAAAGGCTTGATTTCAARAAGTTTTTMATTTGYGTGWTACTTTTTGAGTTGCAAAATCAGCTCAAACATGCCGCTGCTTTTTTCGAAGTTTCTCAAGAACSATTTGAGCCACAKAAYTCGTTTTGGCATCGTKGRATAGAGAATTKAACAYTCMATTTAGTACCAGCSAYWYSAGTGAGGAAATTCAAGTAGTTTTWACCCAGGAAKRRAAATTTGAATWTCAGRCACTTTGGTTGGTGCAAGATTAGGCCACAATTTCATGTTTTCCGCCCCGTTTTTGCTCATTTCTCAAAAGCAAAATGAGCACGAACGTTCATTTTACATCATTCCCAAGAGAACTAAATGGTCTTTTTAGAAAGTGAACCATCTATAAGGAAATGTTGGCAGTCTTCTCAAAAAAGTCTTGATTTCAAAAAGTTTTTGCTTTGCGGGTTATTTTTTCAGCTGCAAAATCGGCTCAAACATGACGCTGCTTTTTTCGAAGTTTCTCAAGAACCATTTGAGCCACAGAATTCGTTTTGGCATCGTTGGATAGAGAATTGAACATTCGATTCAGGCATTGCAACATGAGTGAGGAAATTAGAGTAGTTTTGACCCAGGAAGCGAAATTTTACTCGTCATATATTGAGCAACGGCGGATCCAGCTTTCAAGTCTGCATGCGAAAATCATAACTTCTAATGGAGAACAGACAGCAACTTGAAATGTTTTCAATCCATAAAATATACTTAAATCTAAAACTGCTGAAAGTTTGATTCTGAATAAAGCGAATCCTGATTTTGCCTCCTTTATAATTGTGACGTCAAAAAGTACAATGAAACCCCAAAGTCTCTCTCTCTTAAATAATGGAACCAGTAAAACATACATACATCGACTGCAAACACTCAAGGGATTGAAATCTTCATCAGATAAAATGAGATTAACGGCTTTCCCAGTACCGTATTTCACATTTAAGTGTTTAGTCGCAAAAGCAGTGGAAATGATGCATGAATTATGATTTTATCAAGCGAAAAAACATTCTTCTCTGGACTGAAAAACGGTGAAAATACTCGCATAATGGGGATAATTAAAAATGAATTAGTAGGAAAAAAGCAACCGTGGCAGACTCCCTGGAGAGACGCAAATGATGGCAATTTTCTTCACAGTTTGGCATAGACAAAGTGATGGTTGAATGGACAAGGG